CCAACGATGTTTATTTTTCCTAACGTGAGTCAGGCACCATCAGAATCAGGTTGAAATAAGGATCCTACCTACGCAAGCCCGTGAACTGAACTCGAGACTTTTAGGTCAACAGACGCGCACTCTACCATCCGATCACGTTATTCCAACTTGAAGCTTGATATGTCTACAGTAAAGATGCGCAACAGTTGGCGCTTCTAAATAGACCTTCTAAATGACATTAGTTTCACAAATAATCCAAGGTGTATTTGCATTGGTTGATGAAACTGTATTAAACGTTGTTCTTTCTTTCCTCAAAAATACATTAAATATGTAAAAAAAATATAAGGATATTTAGTATATGTAAAAGTATGTTCGTACTTACCAATCCTTTTTTTTGCATACACTCCACAGCTAAACTAGTTGACACCAATAACTCCTGAACATTTCCTTTCACCGTTTTTATTCTGCGTAGTTATGGTCCCTGTAACTAACTTGTATCCTATACCTCCTATACCTCCTACGCGCTAGAAACTATGGCAACACTTTCGCATTCTGACCTTCTTTTTATGACGTTACTCTCTCTACATAAGTACTGCTAAAGCATATATGTCTATGGGTTATGACCGTACAGCTATTAATATGTCATGGTAGACTGCAATAGTCTTGATTTTGTGTCTATTTCCTAAAATAGTTTGTTTATAGATATTTATACCAGGTTCGGGAATACCCAGTTAAAAGTGCGCATTGGACACACGCTTTGGTGAACTTAGAGACTCTTCGAAAATAATATTTGGTTTGTAGGAATGATCACTTGGTTTTGTAGACAACTGTATATTGTAACAGTGCTAAAATTTGTCCAGAACTTATTTGGTTAAATTGTAAAGGAAACTATGTTTGTGATTTATTGTAAAACAGTAGAACAGTTTTGTTTTGGTGATATAAGGGTGGTTTGGGTTGGTATATGGGTTCAGTGGCGTAGCGAGGTCGGGTGTCACCTCCAGAGGCGTAGCGAACCTTTCCGGGGACAAACTTTCAAATTTTCGATTTGCACCCCCCCCCCCTCAAACTTTCGATTTGCACCCCCCCCCCTCAAGTTTTCGATTTGCACCCCCCTCCCCCCTCCCCTCAAACTTTCGATTTGCACTACCCTCAAGTTTTTCTCTATAAATTTTGCTTTTTTTTACCTTGGTGTCACCCCTCTAAATGGTGTCACCCGGTGCGGTCCGCACCCCCCGCCTCCCCCCTCGCTACGCCCCTGTATGGGTTGCATCGGGGTATTACATGGGTGGTTTCGGTGTGTGTCAGGTATAGAGGTGATAGGGATGGTGTCGGGTCGGCGTGGGGTGGGGTGGTTTAGCAGTCGTGTAGTAATATTGAAAAAAACTAACACAATGTACCTCAGTCTCTGATACCTTGACTGGTTTCAAAAGTACGGAGGAGATTGCGTGTAAAACCAGCCACACATTTCGAACTTATTCAATGTTTTGTTAGCGCAATTTCCATACGGACAATTGCGATTATTAACTCGTTCTGGATGGATGTGTGTCCGATGTGTGTCCGCAGCTTTAAGTTGTATCTCCTCCTCAACGAAGCAATATCGAGGACTAGTTCCAAAAGCAAATATGTTAAGCAAGTTCCAAGGATGATTGTGGGCCAAAAAAATTCCCGGAATTCCTTCCTGGATTTCCCGGAAAAACAAACAACCTCGAAAAAAATACAGTTTTTGGCCCAATCTCGGCAACCAGACCACTTAGCGACTTGGAACATTTACCAATCGATTTCTGCCATAATTTAGAACAATATTGCCGAAGAAAGTTTTCAAAAATATCCCTTCGTTCGGTCACAAAAAAATTAATTAAGGAAATTGCGCTTAAATTGTCACTAGACTTTTTATTAACTTGTTTTCCCTTAAGACACAGATCAACTTTACTTCACCTGCGATACTGTTGGTCTAGTCTGAAATGTTAATTTGGCAGTACGGCTTAAGAAACAAAAGCATACACAAAAAAGCATGAACAGATCTACGCAGTAAAACATAAACAAAGTAAAATCCTAATCCAATCTTGCGTCATAAACCCGTCCGTAACACACACACACACAAACACACAGACACACAAACATATACATAACAAACAAGGAAGCCATTCTCAAATACTGGACTAATTAATCCAAGGAATTTCATCTTGGATTATCTCAGTAATCCTTTCTACTCAGAAGGTGTCTAGTCGCTCACACACAAAAAAAATAATTGTGTTGAATTACTTCGTGCCCTAAATCCACTTCAACTGTGATTTCTTGTTTTTAAACTACAGATAAAAAGTACTGATTGTAAATAGAAAACGGAAATTACCGAAAATCAAAGCACTCTTACATTAGGATGCAATAGGAGGAATGAAACGAAACTAGATTAGTGTCCAGCTGTTTCAAAGTTCGTTCTGCAATCCTTATAGTTCAGAACACTCCTGTTTTAATTTCCTTTTCGCTTATAAGAAGGGAAGTAACCGGGTGTTTGAAATATTGCTTGAAGATTACTCGGACACGAGTTAGCACGCTTGATTGTACGGGCTGTTTTTCTGAGACGGGGTACATGTCTTGTTTCAATGGTGGTTGGAGGATTTCTTTGAGTTTAAGCTGAGGGGTTTTTGCTCATTGTTGGGGTGGTGTTAGTGTGGTGTTGGGGTGGTGGTGGGTGGTGTTGGGGTGTTAGGGTGGTGGGGTGGTGGGGCGGTGTTATGATGATGTTGGGATGGGGTTGGGGTGGTGTCTGGGTGGTGTTGGTGTGGTGTTGGGAAGGTGTTGGGGTGGTAATAGGGTGGTATTGGGTGGTTCTGGTTTATTCATTTATGGGGTTGAGGTGGTTTTGGCTATTGATGGGTGGGGTTGGGGTGGTATAAGATAGTGTCGTGTTGGTTTTGCAATGGTGACAGCTTATAGGTGGTGTCTATATATAATTATCTCAATGATCATCTCAATTAACGCTAACTTTTCTGACTGGATAAAATCTAAATGTCTAACCATTTTAAAATCATTGTTACACTTTTTAAAATTGTACCTTATACTTCGTTCGTACTCTGAAGCATGTCCACGCCATTAAACATATTCGCATCATGAAACGCATGGATAATCAGTTAAACATTTCTACTTTTTCTTTAATTTCAATTTGATTTTCTAAAATATTACCGAATGCATCTTCTCCCCCAACTCCGATGAAAGACATGATAAAATGATAAACCTTTTTATCTAAGATCATTTAATTGTTCACATTTATTAAACATAAACTATAGCTTGTCCTCTAATTTCTCGGAGGCATTTTTAAAAAAGTGTGCATTGAACTTTTAAATTTATTATGAATACAAAATGAATTCCAATTTAAATGTAAATTATTCAACAAATTACATAGTAAAATTTCAATTCCCGTTTAACTCTCTAGTCATGGGATAAATTTTATTTGTCAGCCACTTGTAATATAAAAGGTCCCATACGTCAAACGGTGCAATGCAATATCTGGTCTAAATCCGACCTGGATAAAGTAGAACACCAAACCCAGAACGGTAATAAAATAAAACAAGTTGTCACATCATTTAAAATTAAAAAACAAAAAAAATATCTAACAAATTTTTCTTGTAAAGACAATATAGTTAAACCGAAACTTAATATTCCCGAAAGGAAATGAATTTCACTAAAAAAATATAATCTCTAATATTTTGTGTGCAATACCAATAAATTATGCATTGAAACGTAGATGCAAAAATAGTTTAAGGAATTTAATACCAAAATACAGAAATTCAAGGTGTGTCATACCAGATTTGATTCCATCTCCACAAAGGGTTATATCATTAATCAAACAAGATAGATATTAAATTTTAATAAATTGGCTGGTAAAATGAGAGTCTTGAATAACAGCAGCGCCTTTGAAAGAACGCCCTAGGCAACTCGTGTATCAGTTCCTGTGGAATTAATGACTGGTTCAAATATTAAAAAGGATGGCGAAATTGACGGTGGAAGATGTTTTCAGAAATAATCATATTAAAAAACGTACCGGGTTTTATATAAAATCATAAACAGATAAAGTTACAGAAAAAAAAAATGATTACAGAAATGAAAGGTAGAGAAGAAATTTTAACCGCGGTATGGTTGGATGGTAGAGCGCTCGACTTTGAACCCGAGCGTGTCGAGTTTGAATCCTGGAATTGCGTCTTTATGACGATCATATGTTTACCAACTTCTTTTGGGTACCTGACTCAAGTTACGAACAGTAAAGTCGTATGGGTATAGTAGTAACTAAACTAGTTGGAAGTTAGAATATCAGATCAACTCTACTACATCTGCCCTATCGACCCACAGGTCAGCATTAGGTTATTGTTATAACTTTTATTATACGGGCATACCCACTCGAGCAACGCTCTCCAACTCGCAGTTCGCAAAGTACAGTCGATGATATTCAACTCCTATATTTTTACTAGTAGACAGATCCGTTATCTTCCACGTTGGTAGAAATTCGCTCCAATGGTGCATCATATCACTGAAGTAGTTATTTTATTCTCGCGATCACCCGACTGGTCAGTTGATTTTTCTAATTAACAATTTCCTATTAGAGTATAGCAATTCAAAAGTCAATTTTAATGACTTCGGGTTAAGACTAGACTTACACTATTACTGGTATTTGCGTATTTTTTAGCGTAGACCAGTTCTTTATGTAGGCCTATATATTAGGATAGTAACGTGAAAACTGTTATTTGCGTCTAAGATTTGGCTTTGCTGCTGTTTTTCATGTGCTTTGATATACCAGTCAACATATAAAAACTTAATAATCTGTATACATAAGTTTACAATTTAAAAAAAATAAATTAATAGCTTTATTTTACAATTGTGTTCTCAAATTGAAATCGGCATGTAGACTTCAACTACTCCGTGTAAAAGAAAGTTATGGTGTCCAGACAATGTCGTTGTAATTAAACCAAAAAAATCATGGTGACTTTTTAACGGGTCAAGGCCGTTGATTGAGCATCAAGGTCAAGAAGATGGCACCCTCCAACTGGAGAGAGTTCGGCCTGGGGCTGCTTCTCAGCCTCGCCTACCACCACTGGACCGTGACATCAGCACGTCACTGCCCCACCCTCCCGTCCGACGCCACTGACAAGGTCATCAGGGTGGGGATCATCCTCCCCTTCGAGGGCAACTACCCATGGACCGTCAAGATCACCCACCCCGCCATAGCGCTGGCCTGGGATCGGGTCCGGCGCATGAATATTTTAAACGGGTACACCTTTGAACTCATGACTCGAAACTCGAACTGCTCGGATACTTTGGGGCCCCTGGCGGCCATTGACCTCTACATCAACAAGTCGGCGCACGTGTTTTTTGGCCCCGCGTGTGAATACAGCGCGGCGCCTGTCGCCAGGTTTTCATACTTTTGGGGAATCCCCGTTTTGACGGGAGGGGCGCTGGTGGCGGCCTTTCAGGACAAGAACGAATATCGTCTGCTAACTCGAGTTCAGGTGAGTAGACCTTAGACGTTGTTGTGTGTTGATGCTTTATTAATGAATAAGTAGAAGTCACTTATGGGACGGAGTGGTCTAGCGGTATAGAGCTGGACTGCTAACCCGTAAATTCTCAAGTTCGAATCCGGGTTCAAGTCAGTAGACCGTCCCTGAGTCCACCCAACTCTGATGGGTGCCTAACTCGAGTTAAGGAAAGTAAAGGCGGCTGGGCATAGTGCTGACCACACTATCTCTTCATATGCAGAGGTCACAGAAACACGTGAACTCTACTTCACTTGCCCCCATAGACCGTCAGGTTTGAAAGGGAAACTTTTTCTTACTTTAAGAGGGCACTTACTTTTGTATAAGTCCAAGTTAAACTTTAACAGATGTATTTCAATAAGTTTTTAATTGGGATAACTTGAAACGTATTTTTAAGGCACTGTTTTTTTTTTATTATTCTTCCAAGTTAATCTTAAACAAAACTATAATTAAGAATTGTTTATCTAGATATAAATTGAGACACGTTTTTTAGGATTTTTGCTTTTGTCAAAGTGATATTTGAAAAAAAAAAAAAAAAACCACAATTTCATGATTATTTATTAAGGAAACAGAAAAACGCGTTTTGTGATTTTGTAGGTTAAAAAAAATATTGAAAATATCAATTCATTTGTCTACAGTAATTTTTAAAAAATTTTTACCAACATGTGATTTAATGTTCATCCAATTCTAAAAGTTCACCCTCTAAAATATTGGTAACAATATTCTCCGCGCTAAACTTCTAAAATTCCAAGTTTCAACATATGGAATCGATTTCAACTACCCGAATAACTAGCAGAACTGCAAAAGAGGAAAAATACCTTAATTTCCACGTACATTCGTCCTACCTTTATCGCGGTTAATCAGGACTCGAAATAGCAGCGATAAGTAAAAAAAACGTATAAAATTATCCAATGAGAATAGGGCTGGTAAGTAGGTCACCAACCAGTTCTACGGCTCAATAAAACCTGCATGAGCTATAGGGCTTGTAAGTAGGTCACCAACTAGTTCTATGGCTCATGCAGGTTTTATTGAGCCGTAGAACTAGTTGGTGACCTACTTACCAGCCATATAGAACAGGTTGGTGACCTACTTACCAGCCCTATTTCTCAGAGACAAGATGAAGTAACTCAACAAATGAATTCCATTTCAGGGAGTCCTGGCCAAGGGCGCTGAGTTCACAATAAAGATGCTCCGGCACTACAACTGGAAGAACATCGGCCTGCTCTACTTCGACGACAAAGCGCCGACCAACACGAAAAAACGCGACTACTACTTCGCCGTGCAGGCCGTGTTCGTCGAATACAAGGCAACGTACGGACGCCAGCCGTACAACCGCGAGTTCAACTACAACCCGGACTTCCGTGATATTTTAACGGAGGTCTCACACAACGCCCGAAGTGAGTTGTCCCGTTTTTTTGTTGTTGTTTTTGTTTTCTCTTCTACGGTGATACCGCCCTTACAGATTTTAAAATTTAGATATTGGAAATATAGAATAGTAACTGAAGTATTTAAATGTAGTAATATGTCGGTCCTAATATTGATAAATAAGCACGTATATATATATATATATATATATATATATATATATATATATATATATATATATATATATATATATATATATATACATATATATATATATATATATATAGGCCTATATATATATATATATATACATATATATATATATGAAATAACATTGTTCGCTTACAAAGGGCCTTAACCCAAGTAATTGTGTCTTCTTAGCAAGGCAAGATTATCTATCGTTAAAATAAGATCGGCCAACCCAATGTCAAACATCACAAACCGTACTGACGTTATAAGAGTTGTGTTGCAAGTGTTCGAACAGTATTCTAGTCTCTCTCTCTCTCTCTCTCTCTCTCTCTCTCTCTCTCTCTCTCTCTCTCTCTCTCTCTCTCTCTCTCTATATATATATATATATATATATATATATATATATATATATATATATATATATATATATATATATATATATATATATATATATATATATATATATATATATATATATATATATATATATTTATATATATAATTATATATATATATATATATAATTGGTTTATCATCAAGCTAAATAGTTTAACACCATACTAGCTATATCTTTAATGTGACGGGTAAGTGTGTGCGTTGGGAGGGGGGGGGGGGGGGTATATTCCTACATTGAAGCAAAAAAAACTGATAAATTGAAAATTAATTAAATTGTATAACGCATTGATAATTAACTGATAATTTAAAATATGAGGCGACCCTAATTGCATCCTGTATCCAGATATTGGCATAAAACCTTCAATTATATTTTAACTGTTTATTAAATGGAGCAAATTAATAACTTGTTCTATAATTTAATTAAAGTAATTAATTAGACATTGCACATCTTTTAAAAATTAAAAATAAGTTTTTATTTTATTTTTTTACCAATATATAATTGTCTAAAATTTAATATTGATTGTCATCAGGTATCATTTGAGTTCAGCCTTACCTAAAGTAAATTTTCTCGTAACCATAGCTCCGACAACTTCCTCTTTCACGCTGAATTTTGGGAGAAAGGAATTTGCGCTGGGAGGAGATTAAATTACATACAATATAATACGGGTTAGTGACTCGAATAGACAGGGATAATATGGTTAAATACAGGATGGCTCAAAAAGTAGATTATATTGTTTAATAGTCTGGCTGCTTTTGGAATGAGCTGTAGGCCAAAGACAGAATACTTGAGATATAATTTACTCTTCATCATCAAACTGAAATAACAGCAAATTACGATCAATATAGCGTTTAGTGCTTAAAAACCTTAAAAGTGAACTAAAAAAAAAATTAACACTTTCAGTTTAAGTGTACTTGTATGTCTACTAATTTAAACAACCAATTTATATATATATATATATATATATATATATATATATATATATATATATATATATATATATATATGTATATATATATATATATATATATATATATATATTGTTAAAAATGATTCAATTCAAAGAATAAAAACATAAGAAAACATGCACTAAATATAAGACCATCTCCAAAGAAAGTTCGTTTGAAGAAAAGAGTACACGGAGAGTAGAGGTATAGGGGCAGTCTAATTTCATACACGTTGACTATTTTAATGGAAAAAAAGAAATAAATTTCTCTTCTGCCTTTAGGGCTTTAACAAATTAGTCTGGGGATTTAGTAAGACATGTCTGATATTATCTGGAGAATTGAGAAATGGAAATTCCCAATAAGAAATTTGAAGAGGTCAAAATGGTACTGCGAAAAAAAATTGCCTAAATGTAAATTAGATGTGTAATTGAATCTACATGTTTGTTATTGTGATTCATGTCTCGATATTTGTAGGGTTTATGCGCCTAAACCCTTGGCTCTGTAATTTACTTATGTTTGGATAATACTTTATTTCGTAATAAGGAGGGTGAATAATAATGTTTGATCTTTACTTGCTGACTTTCAGTTATAAAATATCTCGTTTGATGAAGGGGACGCAACAACGAAATTGTGATTCTTGATTAATAACCTTGATTACTTCCCCTAGTTCTTTTTTTAACATGAAGGTTTTCGCTGTTCATTGTTGTATTGTATAATGTTAAGACTATTTTTATGTACACAAAAATTATCTTTAATTATAATTTTTTTTTTTTTTTAATTTCAACCCTAAAAACTTGTATGCACAACTTTATAATTATACGCACGCACGCACACACTCACACACACACACACCGACTTCCTAATAAATATAGAGTCTCTCACACAAACACGTCACATTAATCAGTGTGTTGCTCTTTCAATACTCACATTGAACTATACAAATTAGTTCACTCTAGTGGAACATAACAACAGTTCTCTTCATCGAAAATGTGTCCATTACACGCCTGTATTGTGTTTGAAAGATTTGCTTATTACTTTCGGACTGAATTATATTTACCGTTTTAATATACTTGTTGCGGAACAAGTGTAATTCATGAATTATTTCCCTTAGTATAAAACACTAGCTCAAATTCGCATAACTTTGTTATATATATAGGGCCTATATATATATATATATATATATATATATATATATATATATATATATATATATATATATATATACTAGCCGTCCCGGCCAGGCCCTGCTCTGGCTTCTGTGAAAAACCTTTGTGTTAAAGACCATTACCTGTGTGTTTAGTAATCATCATAAACCCGGCATTGCCCACCCAAACCACAACCAACCAAAAACAACAAAACGCAAACATAACGCTAACACAATTACAAATACAAACGAAAACAAAAACTTAACAACAAACACAACCACACCCACAAACACCAATACAAACACAAAGAAAAAAACAAACAAAAAGCAAACGAAAACAAAAACCTAACAACAAACCCAACCACAAACACCAATACCAACAAAAAAAATCAACGAAAAAAGCAAACGAAAACAAACCAAATCCAAACGCAAAACCAACCAAAAACACAAATACAAACCCAAACAAAAAAAAAACACAAACAAAAACGAAAAAAGAAAGAACAAAAACGAACCAAATTAAAACGCAACCACTAACGCAAACCCACCTAAACACAAAGAAAACACTAACGCGAACATAAACGCCCGGGGCGGAATCACCTGTTTTAGCTTAATGAACGACTATAGTACCCCAACTTAATCACAGTCTTTTGCACTCACTTAAACGAACGCGCCTGTTTCAATTTAATAAACAATTTTAATACTCCAAGCTTATCCGTAAAATACCTACAACATTTGCACTTGATCAATCCCCGCTAATTATGTAATTATTTTTTTTCCCAACACCAAAACAAAGTAATTAAAAAGTAAATTATTTTCACGGAATGCAATTGTTTTATAAAGGGAAGTAATTGTGTTTTTCCTAATTTATCAAAGGGAAGTAAGTGCTATAGGACTAAATAAAGACATAATTAGAATTTTTGTAAAAGATGATATTTTTTTTAAAACTTGTGTTTAATGAACATGCCGACAATTATTACTATAATTTGAAAAATGAAAATTATTTCCCAACACTTTCAATGGTAATTTTTTAGCTCATAAATTTAGACAAATGCGCACGATAATTTTTCTAACACTTAAAATCGTACAATTCCAACGACATACAAATGCATTACATACAGAACTGAGCTTTATATATTAGATATATCATATATATATATACATATATATATATGTATATATATATATATATATATATATATATATATATATATATATATATATATATATATATATATATATATATATATATATATATATATATATATATATATATATATATATATATATATATATATATATATATATGTATATATATATATATATATGTATATATGTATATATATATGTATATATGTATATATATATATATATATATATATATATATATATATATATATATATATATATATATATATATATATATATATATATATATATATTTATATACATATATATATATACATATATGTATATATATATATATTACATTTAAGTTGCTGATCAACTATTCTAATCATTGCTAGGCCTTTTAGTTCGCATTTTCATAACCCTCGAATTTTTTTTTACTGTGTGTGTGTGGGGGGGGGGGGGGAGGGAATGGAGGGAGGGGACAAATTAGGCAAGAGAAAATATTTGATTCATCATCCTGCTGAGTACATCTTGGCTTAATAACATTGCTCGAATTGTACGAGATAGAGAGAGAGAGAAAGAGAGAGAGAGAGTGAGAGAGAGAGGGAGAGAGAGTGAGAGAGAAGAGAGAGAGAGAGAGAGAGAGAGAGAGAGAAAGAGAGAGAAAGAGAGAGAAATACTGAAAAAAATAGTGCATGTAACCTTTAATGAACATTTGAAATCAGATCGTCAATGAGTTATCTTTCCTTGCAACATAATCTGGAATTTATCCATCTAATTTAAATATGATATATCTTCTATAATTTCATAAAATTTAATTAACCAAAATTAAAGTAATTAATTTTGTGCGAAGAGAATAATTAATAATTATTGCGCGTTAATTTTCTATAATAACTTTAGCTCTTGGCAAAAGAAAACTTACTGAAAGTTTTCTACATAAATAACCGTCCATAATTAATTTAAAAATATACTTAGCGTTTCATTTTTAGATCATAATTAATGTTTTTAGATAAAAGTTATTCTTATATACAGTAGTCTGGCCGTGAAAATTGTGCATCTAAAGTTCAATATTTTAATTTTTAATCTCGTCTACCAAAAGTTAGCGCCCCTTGATAACTTATCTCCCCTTATTACTTTTAAATAAACAAGTCAAGCTATGCAAGGGCTTTCAATTTCCGCCCAAATCACTTTTGTGCTGTTCCCGGACTAGACACTACCCTCTACAAATTT